CCGAGGGAAAGAACGTTCCCAGGCGCGCTCCCAGTCCGACGATGTGCCCGATGGCCTCGTTCCCGGCCTCCGCCGTAACGGCCTTTCCCGCCCTGACCCCGGCGGAAGCCGCCGCCGCCGCGACTGCTGCTGCTGCTGCTGCCGCTGCTGCGCCGTTGTTGCCGTTGCCGTTGCCGGCGCGGAGGTTGGCGGCTGCGGTAGCCGTCCCGGATCGCCCAGCGCCTCGGCCGCCGCCGCCGTCGCCGCCCCCGCCGGCGTTCAGTCGGATGTCGGAGGGCCCCGCCGAGGTGCGGGACGATGGCGTCATATAGGCGCCGCCGCCACCGCCTCCGTGCGCAGTTGTGGATGTCTTCGTGTTGCCGTAGCCGGAGCTTGTGACACCACGCCGCTGAGACATGCACACAGCCGGGGCGGGGAGGGGCGGGGGCGGTAAGCAAGGGGGGCTCTCGGAACGGGGTCACGACCAAAGGGCAACGGGAAAAGTGACGGGCGAAACGGCCATGTTTGGACAACAGCGGCGTTTCTATTGTGGCGCCGTAGGTGGAAACAACACCAGCAACAGGGTAGGAACGGACGGTGTGGTTGTACGGCAACGATTTTACGGTCATGACTTATCCACAACAAACTAGGTTGCAAGATCATGCAATGCATCCTCCATTGAGAGAGGCGAGGGACGGGTGCGGTGGGGGTGGCGCCCCAGCAGATCACGCAAAAAGCAGACAACACCGGCGCTACACAGGGGTACGGGCTACAGAGACTAGGAGTGAGTCTTCTTGCCATCGCATAGATTCTTCGATTCGACATCCAAACGATCAACACAAACCGCGGCAGCAGACTTCGGCCGGATGATTCTCTCGCCCTGCACACCACAACAACGTCGACCAACAAATCATCGTCACAACCGCCAAAAAAAGTGCAATACCCACGGCCGCAACAACGGCGACAGCGACAACGACAGCAAGGCCAGTTCTCTCGTCGTCCTACTCTCTTGCCTGGCTCGGAGTCGGGGTGCCGAACAGCGCCCCCCCGCCAACCACGGACATGTCCTTTCCGCGCGCCCCCCCGCCCACCGACCGCCGCGAGTTTTCCACCCTGCTCGTTCCTGCGCCAGCGGCACCGGCGGCACGAGAAGCTGGTGGCGGAGGCGGCGGCGGCGGAGCCATCCCGTAAAGCTTTTCAGAGCGACGGCCTGTCGGCGCATCAAGGAAGATTTTTTCACATGCATGGTGGCAATAACGCGCGGAGGGGCGGGGGGGGGTGTACTCATAGTCGTGCATGCCGTAGTCGTTAGACCATTGACCTCGCATCCCTACAAAGCCGGGACGGAGCACGCCGGGTTCTCACCGGACCAGGCTCTCACATCACCAAGCGCGAAGCGCCGTGAGGTATTCGGCGAGTCGCATGAAGGGTGAGCTGCATCCTGCTAAGGGTGTTCGGCATCTTGTGCTTACTTCCTTGCGTACGGATGACAGCTGCGGATGACTTAATTTATTTTCTGGTGCTTTCACTTCCAGAGACAGTTGTAAGCACTGTGTAACTGCCT